AAAAAATCGTTTTGCATATCTTTTGATAAGAAAAAGTAATGAGCAGTTAAGTCTTAGACAAAACTTTTGCGACGACTCAATATTTCTATTAGTAAAAGAGTCATGCCTCTGTAAACAAAACCAAGAAGAGCAATCATCTGGACGCAGTGAATAAATCTGTGTAAATTATGACTCATAGCAGTTCGTTAATTTTCTACGACTTTTATAATGGAATAGCGAGTAGCATTTGACGAGTCATTGCTGATTACCAACAAGGGCATTATTTTACTCTTCCATGGTTTAGTTCAAAATCTACGTTGCACGAATAAGAGATAAGAAAGTGGTCTACAAGAAGAAAAAGATGCAGATTGAAGAACTTCTTACGGAACGGGAAGTTTTGCTCAGGACAATTCATTTATTGCCAAAAAACTTTGAACAGCTGGAGCAAAGAATCGTAAGTTTTTTAATAAAGATCACGGATGGATGAAATTCTAGTTTTTTGGTTATTACTCGTTGCTAATTACCATTGATCTGCCATACTCCTATCTCTGGCATCTTCTAGGAAAGCTTTGGTGTCGAGCCGCTAACTGTTTCGTCAGCACCGCAATCATCTCACCCCATAATAGCTCCAAACACAACGGATGTGGAAGAACTAAAGAGTATTGTGACTAACTTGATAAATGATATAGATCGACGCAGAGACACTATGGCGGAACTCAAGAAAAAGCGCGATGACCTGCAAGAGGCTTTTAAGGTTAGAAAGAGTTCTCATTTTGCTTTTAGTCGCAGAATTATGTTCTTTAGAGTGAAAAAGAAGATTTTGATGATAAACGAGCCGATTATGAGGATCGCCGGGCGGAGCTCCAAAATGAAAGTGTAGAGTTGAAACCTGTAGGTCGTCAAGCTCAAAAAACCAAACATTTGTGTACATTTTCCATAAGTTAGTTTCAGCTCATCGAAAGCCTTGAGGGGCGGCAAGATAAAGCCGAGAAAGCAGTAATATATATTGAAGAGCAGATTAATGAAGCAGAGCAACAACTATCTGCATTCAAATCAGCTGGTTCAAATGCAGGTGAAGATTTAAAGGTATGCGTTTGCTAGCGTATTTGAAATTGTTTTGCTCTAGACAACCTCATTGTTTATTTCTTCACGCTCATTTTGAGCGCATAATTTTGCTTTTTCATTTTTGTGAACTTGACATAAAAATCGAAGCTGATCATAAAACTGATTTCTGTCACTACTACATCAAACAGCAAATTATTTTAGGCTCAACTCGCCGAAGAACAGGCAAAGGCTGAGTTGTTGCTTCAAAACAACGAAAGCCAGGTCACCGATTTTGATGCTGCTAGAAAGCAAATGGTGCTATGGAAAAGTCTCGTTTCAATGTTTGAGGCGAAAATCGCGTCTACAGCAGAGGAGCACAATTTGGGGTATGCATTTTCAATTTATCTGGCTATACCATAGCTTTCCTCACGCATTAATGAGCAAGATTTTTATTTCTTTCTCTACGTAATACTGATCATCATTCAGGAGTGAAGATAATTAATCTTGGAGCGTATGGTAACAAAGATGCGAATCGCGTAAGAGAAAAACTGACTGCACAGTAAACTAATTTCTTTCTTTTCACTATTCATTGTAACTATATTATTTTGTACATTGTTGAAGCATTGATGTGCAGATGCTTGTCCTCTCTGTCTCTGAGGCGGCAGTCAATACAGGTCTTTGCAAATTGGTTGAAGTCTCAGTATTTCTTTCAAACTGACTCTTTGAAGAGATCTATATTAAGAAAAAAGAACTACTTCGCAACACCACAAAGTATTGAAAAAA